AAAAAGGAGACATCCTGCAGCCGTGTGACACCGAGTATCCCAGCTTCGTCTACGAGCCGTCAGTCAAAGAGACCAACAGCATTATTAAGTGTGGACGCTGCCAGAAGTAAGCACACATTCACACTCAAAACTGCAGTGCAGTCCTCCCTAGACCAGTCATATTAAATCGTCCTTCCAAAATCCATTTTCCACAGCTTTGCTCTGCTTTGCATACTGAGAGCAGTGCGTGTTTATACCAGAGTATCAGGAAGGGGGGAAATAACTAGAAAGGGATGGAATTAGATCAGGGTGCCAAAGGTTGCATAGAGACAGATGTGCTTGTGGAGAGTGAGAGAGAGACTGGAAAACTGAGAGAAGGTATTAAGACAGGTAAATGAAAAAAACAGTGGGAGGCAAAGGGAGGAAAGCATCACAGCATGTGTTTGAAAGTGAGAAACAGGGAGAGAAACACTGTAGTTCTGCAGTTACGATATTATTTCAGCCAGTTTGTGATCATAGGTTGAGTGTTAACGCCCTCATGAGGCCAAAATGGGTATAACGCAGCACAAACTCTGCTTGCAGGGCAAGATTCTTAGAAGTGTTTAGCTCACTTTATTTCCCAGTACGACCAACTCACGCAGTCAAGTAAATCAGATTTTAGACATATTTGGATTTATTATTATTTTGAAAAATAATGCACATATTAAAGCTAATAAAGTAATTAAGTATGAATGCCGTACATCACATAAGATGTTTTCTTTCTCTGTGCTTTTGTTTGTGTGCACATTTTAACACTTTTTATATGTACGTGTTTGTGTGTGGCAGGATGTTTGTGGTGCAACAGATACCAGAGAGTAACCTGTTGATGTTGGTGGTGCAGGCAGACTGTGACTGCTCCAGACAATACCCACCCATCACCATGGAGCCTAAGGAAGTAAAATATATCCTTTGGTATTTTGGTATTTGTGGAATATGCTGGTTCATCTGAAGAAATCATCCCACCTTAACACACCTACTAAATTAGATGTGTTCTTGTTTTGATTTTTATTAGCAGAAGAAAATGTAGGACAGAGCTCTGCCACATTTTTATCTTTACAAGTACATTATAATGAACCAAGATGTACCTATAAACATCATCAGTTGCAACAAGAACAGGATATCTTACCAGCTTCCCAACAGTGAACACTACAATTGTTTTTTGATTAAGCTTTTCCCCTTGCACTAGGCATCCCCTATTCACTTAACATTCCAGGCACACAACAGGGATGTGATTTGTGAAAATGTGTCATTTTCACTGCAAAACTTTTGTATTAACATTTCAATGTGAATTCAAGAGAAACCTCTCTTTTCCCCGTTGTTGCTCCTTGACCCCGCTGTACATAATGACTCAGTGAAGTGTGACAGGATGAGGTCCCAGAAGATTCGCCGACGCCCCGAGTCCTGCCACGCCTACCATCCCCAGGTCAGCTTATCATTGGTTCACCCCAAGAATGACTTTGGCTTTATCCACTGTCTCCAGCCAGTCTTTGACTAAGTGTCGATTTTTTGATAAAAACTTAAATGCAATTATTATTTTATTAATTTTATTAATCATGACTTATATATCTGCTATCATATTTTGCTTGATTGCATTGACTAAATATCTAAAAGCTTAAGTGGTGGCAGAAACACAAAGTGAAATCACTTTCTGTTTTGTCCCTGCAGGAGAACGCCAATGACTGTGGAGGAGCTGCTGTTATATCTCTCTCTGCCTCTCTCTTCCTCACCTGTCTCTCCTTCTCATCACTTGTCTCCTGATGATGGACGATATGGCTCTTTCACCCATTCTCATGTAAAGAATCAAGAAATGTGTTTGGACACCTGAAGAGCATTTTTTTTAAAGTACTCGGCACATTTTGCTCATCACAACCACAAACTTTGATGTGGTTTTTGAGCGTGCATTGGTTAACTCCTGGAAATTAATACATCTGAAGTGAAAACTGCAAAGAAAGTCAGATAATGGGCTGTTGTTGCCATGGATACTTTTCCAAGAGTTACTTTCTCATACACCGCCTTGCATCTCAAAATGAAAAGGGACTTAAGAGATGCAGGTGGTAGCTATGACGTGCACTGATGAAAGATTATGAGTCACAAGATGCAACAAAGTCCAGGGGGGGAAATATGTCTCTCATTTCCCTTATCCCAATATTGCAGACACGTGTGCATATTATATATGCAGCTGTAAGCATGCACACCTTGAATACTTTATTATACTGAATGCTTCATCTACAGACTTATACATGCTTTTTTAAATGTTGAATGAGAGAAGGGAGAGAAGGGCTACAGCAATATATGGTAAACATTGTTGTGTAACATCAGTGTTGCTGCTTGAAGTTTTACAAGGTTATTTGTGATATTAGTTTCTCTGAATCTTCTGCAAGTCTGAAAGTGTGATGGTTTAGTGCCAAGAAAGTAATTGCAATGGAGTAGTTATAAAAAAAATTCACAAATGGGAAAAAGATAATTAAACAAATCAGAATGGGCTCGTTCAGGTTTAAATTTTTGAGTTTTTATTTCGATTACATCCAGAAGATATTTGTTTCTGTGACATTTTTTTTTTAAATGTCAGCCTTTCTGTCTTTGTCAGCTGTGTCTTTGTGCGTACTGTATGTAATTATGTTTGTCCATTTGGCTAGACCTCATTTTGGAAACTGGAACTCTCACAGGGTATAGATCTACAATCAACATTGATAACACAGTGATGACCTTAAATTCAAAATGTGTTTTTTTGTGCACTGACATGGTTTCAATGCAAATCTAGTCCATAATGTATATCCCGCTAAAGACTCTCGTAAATGTTTCTGGAATTAAAATAAAAAGGGTTTTAGGAGGCGTTGATTTCCTGGAGACTGTGGCATTTCGATACTTTACTTGGGCCCCAATGTCATGTACATAACTTCGCATAAATAACAATATAATTTTAAAATTCATGATTAAAGCAACATAAAAAAATGATGGGAAACAAGATTTTTGAAAAGGTCATATATGTAAATGAATGGTGTAAATCTAATGGTATAGGGTATTTTTGTATTTGCTTGTGTTTCACATTTTGAACTTCAGCATTTCATTGTATTTTGGGCTGTGAGTGTCCTTGTAGCTTTTTCTATGGTATTTCTCAATCATCTTACAAAGCATGCTGTGCTTACTCTGATGACAAAATTGCCTGAGCATTTGCCTGTTTATGTAATAGACTTAGATACATATTGTGTGTGGGTGTGCATCATTACAGTATGTTCTGTCTAGCTGAGAGTAATTTTATTCATTTGTCTCATTTTTGTTTATAATTTCCACAATGCAATATTCTGTATATTGTATGGTTGACATGTGTCCACGGTGGATGTTGATTGACTGGAGCCATGATTTGTAGGAAAATTAAAGTATCCATATGTTTTTTGTATTGTATTTGTTGTTAAGTGTGTATTCTGTTTTGTTGTCAGTGATTAGTGTCAGTGCACATATAAAGATACTAATGTTTATACCAGGCTACAACAGAGAATCAGTCAAGGAATTGTATACTCAAAGAGTTATTTCATAAATGTGTCCTAACTCTTTAATAGAGTAGTGGATTAAATCCCCCCAAATGTCTGTCCACTACCAACAAACTAACCTACATTTTTCCATAACTGGAATTTCATCAACAAATTGAACTTATGCTCTCATAGCTAACGTTATGCTCTCATTTAAGAAAATGTGGTACACGAAGTGCCTGAAATGCTTGTAATTGTTTGAAAATTTGACTTATAATAATGTTGTATATCAGAATATCAATAAAGATATGTTATATTTACCTAATTTTGAAATATTTAAATATTTGCTGAACTGTGAGTGTTTCTGTGAGCTGAGCTCTTAAATCCATCTACAAGATACCATCACTAGACACTGTTGCTGTGTGTCAAGAGACAGAAACAGGTGCAAATATGGAGCACATTTCTTCCTGCTGGGAGCTGGAAATTATCATTTTAAGATGACATAAAACACCCTGTTAACACAGCAAATTTGTAAAAAAAAAAAAAAAAAAAACAATTCCCCACTCAATCTACCTAAGCCTACCTAACCTTTAAGTTAGGTTAAGAAGGAATATTGATTGAATTGGTCTTAAATAAATAATATTTATTAATGAATAAATAATAATAATATACTTATTGAGACATAAATGTAGCTTTGTATACTATATCATAATTTACATATTCATTCAATAAATCTAATTTAACATTTGTGCTGTCATGAAGAGATTGCTAAATAGGAATCACAGTGTTCCTGTTTAAAACACCACATTTGTGTTTAGCCTAAAAACACATATGGTCTGTTGTACAGTATAGCGGCCAGTGGACCAAACCACTGTGAGATATATGAGAGGAGCTTTTGTGTACCAAATACATTTACCAGACACTGATGGTTATAGTACAGTGGTTATATTTAATGGTTTTGACCAAAATTATTGCTAGGGACAATTCAGTAGTTGCTGGATGTTGGTAGGGACCATAGACTGTATAAAAGAAGTGTGTCCCTACAAAACTCTCACCCTTGGTATAACCCATTTGTAAAAAAAAATTGTGCTCTGTGGCTCTATAATCGCACAATCACCTCTCTGGTGGGATCATAAAACATGCAACACATAGCCTATCCTATAATGACAATAAACCTGCTCAGGTTTCCTTTTCATTTGACATAATAATTTTTATTTTTCTGATATGACATTTCAGAGTGAAGCCCATTTCTGTCAGAAAAAGATCAAAACAGAAAGACTACTATACATAATTACGAGAGAAGTCCAACACCTTCTACACAAAATTCATGAGCAAGTCAAGAATATGTAACTTTTTTTTTCTTGTCTGGGCTAAAATTGGCCTCTTGTAACTTAAATTGTAACTTAGAATACAGTGACAAGAAAAAAGCCACTTTTCCCACATGTGTGCTTGGTTAATTGTTACGTGTTTGTACGGCTTACAGCAGGTGTTGTAAGTACAGAGTTGGACCAGCAGGGGCGCTAGTTATTCCTCTCCGGCTCATTGTTTGTGGCTCACAGCTCTGCACCGCCGTGCAGAGAGACAGCGACGGGTCAGAGGAAAATGGCGGACGGTGTGGATCACATCGACATCTACGCCGACGTAGAAGAGGAATTTAGCCAGGTAATTAATCCACAGTTACCAAGACCAATGGAGCTAGTATCTGTATATTTGTGTAATACTTTATTGTTCTTATGATCGGAGAGTGGCGTGCTCTGCTGGTCCGCCGAGCTTCTCTGGCATAACGTTACAGGCCCCCCTTTCACCATGTTGCAAGCCTACATCCTCTGCTACAATTATCTGCTCGAAATGTTGCATGGGTGGCGTTGTCAACATTTAACACGGCGTATGCTGCACGTATTAACGGATAGGCAGGTTGCAAGTATATATTTTCTGTATATAAATGCTAAAAGCATCCGATTTTATTGTTAAGCATTCACAGTTTCAGGCCTCGGCATGGCCGCCGGTGGCGGGCTACCAAGCCAAACAAACGTACTTGCTAGCTAGCTAGCTAGCTAGCGTTAGCTGTTTTTAAAAAAAAATGTTACTTGATGAGTCGTTTGTGTTTTAGTTGAAACAACAAGTGTATGAATTAGAAATGCATTTAATGGATGTATTAATTGTTAGCTTTTGACTGTTTGCTTCATCTAAGTTAGCATCAATGTGTCTGCTTTGTAGATTTATTCGTCCACACACACCCCTTGTCTGTACAAGCGGGGGGAAAAGCTGTACCAGCCTAATATGGGATGCAAATAACTTGTTTGTAGCGTCAGATCATTCAAGATAACATAATGTTCACCGTCATCTTAACGAAACAGCTTTCATAATGTGTGTTATGTTGACCCGGGGCACGCAGTAGATGCATTCAGTTGCCCACGCTCGGGGGTTACGGAAGTCCCACAGCTTGTCGTTTCACTCTGGAGCTTTTTCTGTTTGTTTTTTTCTGTAATAAAAAAAATGGTGAGAAAATAAGTCTTGTGTATTAGGAAGTTACTCAGATACACTTGCAACTGAACTGTAACGACAAAGTAAAAAAAACATGGCCTTTTCAATGAGTATATCTACATGCTCCCAGTCTACAATTAGTAGTATCAGTAATCTTAATGCTATTAATACATGTAAACAATGAGTTTGATTTCCTGTATAACCTGTTCTACGTGGATACAGTTAACATCAACAGCACATTGTTCTCTGCATTGTCTGCACTGCGTCGGGTTACATGCACAGAAAATATGACTTGGGTGTTCACTTGCAGCAGGCACTTACTGAAATCAAGGTGTGTTCACAGGCTTACACTTATACGGTTGAGTTTACCTCTTTTGAGATGATCAGATTAAAGTGTAAACGCAAGACTACTGGTATTTAACGTGTTAAACAACCTCTAATCTATTTAATGTAATGCAACAACACAATGTAAAGATCTGTCTGTGAGCAGTAAACTTTACTGGGAATTAATGTAAAATATCCATGTACATTTAGCAATTTATTGATGCAGTCTGGCAGTTTATTTTTGCATGTCTGCCTCATGTACACTAATACTGATATATAAGTGAGAAAGTGAGAATTGCTAGAGCTGCAACAAGTCATCGATAAGTTGTCAACTATTAAATAAATTGGCAACTATTTTATCCGTTTGAGTAATTTTTAATATATTCTGATTCCAGCTTCCTTTTAAATGTGAATATTCTCACCAGTCTTGTTGAGCTGATTGATGCGAGTGGTCTAGTGGATAAATATGACAATAACTTTTTCTGAAATCACTTTAAAACTTGATTAAATAATTCTACAAGTTTTGATATTGAATGTCGTAGAACTTTCTCAGATTTACAGACAGATGAGAGGTGTATGATCACTGTTGTGAAACTGCTCATAAGGTGTCGCATGTTTGACTGAACTGTTACTATTTTGCTTAACAGGAAGCTGACTACCCGGTTCACGAGCAGATCGACCTGTATGATGATGTAATATCCCCATCAGCCAACAATGGCGACGCTCCCGAAGACCGTGACTACCTGGACGCACTGCCTGCACCAGGTGGCACAGAGGGAGGGAAGAGTTCCCAACCCAACGTGGTGTACACCTACACGGGCAAAAGGATAGCCCTGTACATAGGAAATCTCACATGGGTGAGTATCAGAGAATTCTGTTCAGGCTGCTTAGATATGTGGAGGAAAAGTATTGACATTTTGCGCTCTGAAACTGCAGTTAATAAATAGTAGCAACATATTCTTTAAATCAAAGACAGTCCTGGAAAACATTCTTGTGCCATTTCAAAGGTAGACCCACAGTATATCTACTGTGAAACATCTTCTCTTCTCTTATGCAGTGGACGACAGATGAGGACCTGACAGAAGCCATTCGGTCGATAGGAATCACAGATGTGCTTGAGATCAAGTTCTTTGAAAACAGAGCCAATGGCCAGTCAAAAGGGTGAGGTCTTTATTATCTGTGTGTGATATGACTGGACTACATCACAGCCCGCAATAGGTTAAGATTATTACTCTGCTCTTCATTTTACAGGTTTGCGCTGGTGTGTGTGGGCTCGGAGGCATCGTCCAGGAAGTTAATGGAGCTGCTGTCAAAGAGGGATCTACATGGTCAAAATCCCATTGTCACACCATGCAACAAACAGTCCCTCAGCCAATTTGAGATGCAGTCACGCAAAAGTAAGTAGGACAAGCACACACTTTGCATCAACATATTTATCGTATACTCAGCAAGAGTCAAGTTAACTTGCATGCTTGTCACCATACTTATTTAAAGACATCCTGTAAAAGAAATGTGCAAATATTCTGATACATCAGTAAGTCGACGGAAAATGCACTTGCACGGCAGCAAAATGGACATTAGATACATACATAGACTTCATGTACAGTCATATGCATGTTACTTCAGTTATTGATCCAGTCATGTCTAAATGTGCACACAACATACACACTTATTATTTATTGTATATTGAATGGAAAACTGAGTTATTGTTGTCTCATCATTTTACAGGTACCCAGTCAGGCCAGATGTCTGGGGAAGGCAAAGCTGGCCCCCCTGGTGCTGGTCCTCGTGGAGGTTTCCCCATGGGTCGAGGCAGAGGCAGGTTCCCTGGACCACCCGGCCCCGGAGGAGACCGCTTCCCCGGTCCTGTTGGGCCTGGAGGGCCGCCACCACACTTCCCTGGTTAGTTTGGTAACAAGTGCTTGTGCTTGGTATGGTAGAAAATAGACAATGCCCCGCTAAGTTCACTCAGACGCAGAATAATATTTAAAAGGGGCAGAAATCAGATGGAAGGGTAAGTAAGTAGATTCAAATAAGGACAGTTTATGGTATAGCAGGTCTAATTTCTATTGAATATCATAGTTTTTTAAAAATGTACTAGAATGATTTATAGTTCGAGTGTATGAGGTAGCCTGGCTTTGAATGTTAGCAGGCTAATCCAGCCACTCACATGTACTATAAATTGCAAGCTGTTTCCTAATCTAATTTCAACAATTGTTTTTACATTATAAGCAAGGTGTGTTCATGGCAGAAAAGATGTTTGGTCTGGTTCTCTACTGGGAAACGGGCTGAATTCTCTTTTCGTTCTCATTGAAACAGACAAAACAATCATACAGTCTCCAGCAGTAGAAGCAAATTCATGGATGGATGCTTTGGGAATACACACACATCATGAATCACACGGTTAGCTCACTAAATGTGTGATCTGTGATGTGTTTGGATCAGTTTATTGGGGATCACAGCTGGCGGTGGTTGTGCTGTATCACCTGTTGAGGTTTATGTGTCAGTGGAATCCTGATTTAGACCTGGTATTAACATTAAAAATATAGAGGCGTCTTGTGTTTTTGTTTTCTGGCTTTTGTCATTCATGTGGTGTTTCTTTTCTCTTTTTTTTAAAACAATAATATAGAGTCCAACAGATTGATATAATCATCAAAGTATGACAAGTGCCATGAAAACTTAACGTGAGATTAAGAAAAAATTGCGCTTTTTGTCTGGCAGTGCTGCTCTTGTTAGCATAGTCCAGGCTTTGCTACTACTCACACCCGCATGGAACCAAGGCTAGTCGCCCGTAGTGTGTGTTTCTAATGAGGGATCTTTCACCCATTAATCCTGGCAGGCCTGAGTCTTTGCATGTTACCCCTCTCCTTCTGGTTTGTTCTTTCTTTGTCCCTCTAGTTGAACAAATAATCCTCCACTGGCTGCAATTTTCTGCTCACAACACCATTCCTTGACAAGCAGTTTGCTCAAAGCTTTACTTGGCAAGCGACCAACTTTAAACTCCTCGCAAATGTTGGATTGGCCACCATATTCACTTAGTGGGAGAGAATGGAGTTGCCAGCGTTTCTTTTTTCCATTTTTGCGTCTTTTTTTCCCCTCCATCCCACCTTTTTCACATCTCTTCTGTCGCTTAGTGGCTGGTGCCCTGTGCTGCTGGGCTGTGACAGGCCGTCAGTTAGTAGGCGGGAGTTTCTGAAGGGAAGAGTTGTGATTGGTTTGCTTTCTTCCCCATTAGGCTCGGGGATGAGACCAGATCTGATTAGGCACCAAGATGGCCCTCTGATGGATATGAGTTTCAATCCCTTCCCGCCGGGGGGCAGGAACGGGAGCTGGCGTGGCAGAGGTGAAACACCTCGATTGATCTGATTGATTTGATCAATCACCTTTTTGTCCTAACCCTGAGCTCTTTATTGGTAGGAGTTGAACCCGCTCGGTTGACTGCCCCATAAACGGCTGATTTACTCACCAAACTCTAAATCCCTTTTTAATGCAGTTTCCATAAAGTACTGTTGGCCCTATGTGAGGCCAGAGTAAATATTTTTTGATGTGTTTGCATGAAACTAAAATAACAGAAGCACCTCATTTGGAGCTTTGTTAGCTTTGTTTGTTTTGAAGGCCATCCAGCATTCTGCCTACTCCTTTTTTTTGTTTTTTTTCCCACCCTTGTATGAAATCAAGTCAGAATAAATATAGTACTAATGTACCTCTTTTGCCTCGCAGTCCTCTAATGAGCCAATGTCAAGATAACACTTCCCTTTAAATATTTTCATTAGTTGCTTCATGCAGTTGGGTGAAAAGTCTTTTAACCTCCATTTGCCTTAAATGGCATTTCATGAGTGGCCCTTTCATGGAATAATCCATTTGCTCACTTCATATATGCAGTATCTCAAATATATATGAGCTTGCCACGCTGATCTCTTGGGCTTGTGGCAAGGTATAGCAGTGCACCTTCTCAATTAATTGTTAGGGCAAAAGAATCCAGCATTAAATGCTGAGCCTCTGGTTTAAAAAAAATAGCCTGCTTGAAAAAATTTGCTATGACTGTATCTCATCGTCTGTTCTTTTTCCTTCTGATTTCATTTGCAGCATTATTTTGTGGCCTTTTGACATTTGTTGTTCCCTGTAGCTATGGCTTCTGTCTGTCTTTGTCACTGTCCCTGCTTTGAACTGACTTAAGTACCTAAGGTTTATCCATAATGTTCATTTGAAGGAAAACATGGAAAATACAGGCTACTGCAGGACATTCAAATCTTGACCAGTAAATCAGCCAAGCTAATGTGTTTTGTTTTAAATCGGCCAGTTACATTTTCCAAGTACAACGAGTCTATGTGAATTTTACCAGCACACCTATTTCCCCATCATGTTCATCAATCAGAAATGTTTGAGAGCTCTGCCTGCCATAACATGGCCAAAAGATAGCGTTCACTAGATCTAACTCATGTGCTTCTGTTGTCCTTTGTGTTCTCTTTTAGGTGGGATGCAGGGACCCCCACGTCCCCCTCCTGGCCCACCTGGCCCCCCTGGCCCCCCAGGACCTCCACCTCCTGGCCAGGGCCTCCCCCCTCCCCTTGCTGGTCCTCCAAATCGTGGTGACAGGCCTCCTCCCCCTGTTCTCTTCCCTGGTCAGTTCGGCCAGCCTCCAATGGGACCCTTGCCCCCAGGACCTCCTCCTCCAGGTTACGGCCCTCCCCCTGGTCCCCCACCCCCTCAACAGGGCCCGCCACCTCCGGGACCCTTCCCCCCTCGTCCCCCAGGCCCCATTGGGCCGCCCATGGCTTTGGCACCACCTCCACATATGCCAGGTCCCCCACCAGGTGGACCACCCCCAGCACCCCATGTCAACCCGGCCTTCTTCCCCCCACCTGGCAACAACAACATGCCCCCCAACGACAGCCGAGGACCCCCTGGACCAAACGACCCATATGGACGCCCACCACCATATGAGAGAGGGGACTATGGCCCTGGAGGACGGTAAGAATGGGTGGTTGATTTGGAACAAATAATCAACACAGCAATTTATGTGATCTTCTATCGCAGTGCGTTGCCGGTACATCTGCTCAAAGTGTTGCTGTTTTTCATTCACTTCAAGAAATGCTGGTTTCCATTTTAAAGATTTTTTTTTTGTTAAAGCTAGTTTGCATTGGTTTGCGAATATAACACAGTTAACACATTATGTATCTGTAGGGAGATGGAGGCGTCACGGACCCCTCTGAGCGAAGCGGAGTTTGAGGAGATCATGAACAGGAACAGAGCCATTCGTCCAGCGCCATATCTAGAGCGGTCTCTGACGCCAGTGCAGGTAAAACACAGAAATATAGGAAACATACTATGCAAGCACTATTTTGATGTGTGTGCTAAAATTTTTGACAAACATGGAAAAAAAATTAAAGCCTAATGCAACCTTGTGTTCTCTTCAGCTGACTACGGCAGTGCTATAGAGACCTTGGTGACAGCTATCAGTCTGATTAAGCAGTCCAAGGTGTCAGCAGATGACCGCTGTAAGGTCCTCATCAGTTCCCTGCAGGATTGTCTCCACGGCATTGAGTCAAAAAGCTACGGTTCCGCCTCCAGGTAAGATGTGCATATAGTGCAGTAGCTGTTAAATGTTACAATGAAGAAGTTAACAAACTAAAAATAAATGTAAAACAACTTGTCAGATATAATATCTTGGTAATATTTTGGATCTAGCACAAAGAAAATGAGATTAGCCAGCCAGACTTGAAAATGCATTGACTATTTGCCTCCCGTTTGATTCCTAGTTTTAGAAATATTGTGTAGTCTATATTTGCTTGTATGACTATTTAAATAATGTCTTCCAAATGGGAATTGGCCCTGGAAGATTTGAAATTTAAAACTTTAAACCCCTGGTACACAGTCCAATGATGCGTCACGTCTCTGCCAGGCGAGAGCGTTCCAGGGAACGAGACCACAGCCGCTCCAGAGAAAAGAGCAGACGGCACAAGTCCCGCAGTCGTGATCGACATGAGGACTATTACCGAGAACGCAGCCGGGAGCGGGACCGCCATCGTGAGAGGGACAGGGACCGCGACCGCGAGAGAGAAAGGGAGAGGGAGTACCGACACCGCTAGCAACGGGAGGTGGGTACAAATTCTCCTGTGTTTTCTTCTGCAATGAACCCACTTATGTCTGTAACCTAAATTACATGGCAGAAAAAGTAAAACACCAGTGTTGAGTTTGAAGAAGTCCGCTTTGATTGCTCACCTCCTGTCTTCATTAGATTAAATGCTTCAGTTTAGTTCACAAACCCAAATTTGCTGAAAAGATTTTCTGTGCCTGTAACATGTTGGCAAAATTTAACAGGATGTGGTGTGCTTTCACCCACAATAACTAAGTCTTTGTCTTCATGAGCCTCATCAGCCAGAAAAGGCTTTTGAAACCTTTTCAAATCATAAGGTCAGATGGGGTTAAAACTTAAAAGCTCTGAAAAAATTGCATTATAGAATAACATCAATTTTAATTTAATTGTCCCTCTATAAATATTTGAGGAAGGGGACAAGGAGAGACGAGGTAAGCAAAGAAAAGACTTAAAACTCATTCCTTTTTGGTTTCAGGTAGGTGGAAGGTAAGTCTGCTTTCCTTTTTAAAAAATTCATTATTAGTGAACACAGTTGTGGTGTTGTGTATTTGCTCTTTCAGACTATGTGTGTAATCCGCTCTTAATGTATTCACCATGCTGCTTTGCACAGAGGGGTTTGTAAGAGTTGTATATATGCTGTGGTCAAAAGAGAAAATACACTGGTAGTTACTGGAAGTTGACTTTGTGGATGAATTGTTACTTTTTGGTCTACATGCCACTGAGCTTGGTAATGTGCAAAAAATTGTCAGCCACTTTTTGTATTCTGCCAAATAAATTTCAAAATAAAGCAATGTATACACCCACAGCATAGAAAGCAGTACAGACCTGCTGCTTATACATGGTTTTGTACAGGTTTTGTACTAGTTATTCTGCCTTTTTGGCAGTTTAAACTCTGTGTAGATACACATTTGCTAAACATCTGTTTGGCTCATTAAAAAGTGGAAATGTATCAACATTTTGGTTTTACCAGCAGCTGTGGCCTGTGGACCAAAAGAGTTTTTATGGATTGAATATCAAGGTTCAATACTTAATTGCCATTTCATTATATGTGAGTTTAGGGTAACTGAAGTGTATTGTGCCTGCAGAGTTGGTTCTTGTAACAATAGTTCCTTGACTGATTGGCTGATTTCAGATGTCAAAGTATCCAGTAATTTTACAGTACTTAGTACAGATGTAACAGTTTGTGTGGTCTATTTGTTTAGATTGGATTGTATTTTTAGAGGGGGGTGGGGTTACAGTGCTGTACTTGTCGATAGTAGGCCAATCTATACTTTGTAAATGTTCCATTCATAGTAATGTTGTATACATAATTGTCATGTTATAACTACCAGAAGGTGATTTATATATCAAAGTGTCTAATGATTTTTGGACACAGAAAATTTTGAGAATGGGATTGTGCCACATTTGCATGTCGGTAATATTGCCTGACATTTTACTTTTGTCAAATTGAATGTTTTGCAGCCTAGTGTTGCTCACTTTTGAACCATTGTACCTCAATTTAAGATGTTGAGGTGAGGTGGAAAAATGAAAATACCTTTTTTGATATGTTCTGCTCTGATTCATCAGTGGCATTGAATTGAAATGATTTGTAATTTTTTGGAATTTAATAGTATTGGTTTACATTAAGGATCAGTGCATAAGTAATTGCAGTATCTTAGAATTATATTATTGGCATCAGTAAATGACATGTAAGCATGGAATAATAAGGGAATAATGGGAAATAGAAAGCTAGGATCAGAAAATGTTTTCAGATATCTAGATTTTGTCACCAGGCCATCATTACATTTTTTTTAGCTTAGTTGCCTAATTCAGTTAAACTGAAGGATATCATAATTTTTATTTGTGAGAACCTTTAAAAAAATATTGAAGGTATACAGTAAAATAATTTTCAATGCAATCCAGCAGATACATGATTATATGCTAATTATTATTTGACATAGACTGATCCATAGAAGAAATTTATTTTACTATTTGGTTTTAATGTTACTTGTATGTACATTAAAATTATTTCAGTTTAGTCAGCAGTATTTTAATGATAAATCATCATAGGTTGGCATGAGATCATGCAAGTATTTTGTAGTATTTCGCCTCATAACTGGCTGTTAAGTCATGTTGTAGATGAATTTCTTTAAAACTATTTGACACCAGCTTGTTCACAAATATCAATACCATTTTGTCATTGGTGTGTTGCTCGCCAATTATTTGAGGTAAATAACTTTGAGGCACATTTTCTTGCTGGTGTTTTTCAGGGATTCTCTGTGTTAGGGTTTCACAAGTAATTTTGTAATCTTTATGGGAAGATGCTTTCTTCCATAGCGTTACTTGCGTGTTGAACAACATGATAACTTTTGCAAAGTTTTGGAACTGTAGTTGAAATATCTGGTTTGAAAGATTGTGTGTCATTCTGCTGTCCTTTACTGCCAAAGATGTCTGTGGTAGAGTGAGTCTAGTAGGTTACATGGACCCTTTAGCATCTCTGTACATCACCCCAAATAATATTTCTTGTGATTTTAAATGAGCTTTCAAACTTAAACTTCATTCACTCTTGACACCTTGATGTCTTAATGTTGTTGTGCTCACAGAGCAGGATAAATGCTCGATACATTACACATTATTTATATATATATATATATGCACTTTTTCACATGTGCCTCCGTTTCTCTCGTACTGAGAAATATTAACTGGGGTGGTTTTGCTCATGGAGTTGCTAAATTCTGAAAGCAGGCAAAACTTATACCAAAAGAATGTAATTTAATGTCTCAGTAGTCTGCCATGTGATATAAACGGTGTAGAGTTGTGCAAATTTTTAGCTGTCAGCTCCAGCTAAAATGATATAATTCTTGTTGCGCCCCATTGTCCGATAACTACCAAACAATTGTTACTGAAAAATAAGACTTTGTGTCCACCAGGAACCTCTTTACAAAAGATGGATTGCGATTACTTTTATTAAAGTATTATTAGATTTTAACTTTTTCTTATTTTGTTGAAGGGAGAGTATTTTTTCTGTTTCCTTTCATGTACAGCATATAATTCAGAGTGGCAACAGCTAAATATAAAAAAACTTGCGTTTTTAAACAAATGCTGGATTTTGATAATAGCAACAACAATGGCTGCAGTCTCCTAACTCACATTTCTTTATCTTTTGTTAGATAAGAGATCCTCAGTGGGCACAAGGCCTAATAGCTTTTGGTAATATGCATTAATTGAGTATATTTTTTACCTAAATGTTTGTCGTCTAAATGAAATGACTAAACATCCAAATCTGCCTGTGCATTCTTAGAGCATGTTAATCAGGGGAAAAAGAGAATTAAGCATTTTGGTCTTATTCCTGATAGTAGTATGGCTGTTTGTTGTGTCCACAGACATGCTTTAACCCTGTTTTATTTGTTCATATTGACATGGGGGAATGTACACTGTTTGCACCAGGCTGAAATTACTTTCCGTGCTTTCTCTTCAGTCTGTCTGTAGGTGTATGTGTGCTGGAGATCACAGCCTTGATGTCCTTTTCAAAACAAGCATGCAATTTGCTCATGTCAAACCAGGGTCAAACAGAATTTCAGTTATACGTCAGCAATAAGCGTTCAAGCCCATTTCCCCAGGGAGGAAATAGAATTTATACTTGAAGAAACATGACTATATGTGAGTCTGAGAGACGGCTCAGCTAGAGCAACTGTAATGCTTTAATTATGTTTAGTTCCCAAGTTGTGATAGTCAACAAATCAGCTATGTAGCTGACACAGTGAATAGAATGGTAAGTGTACATTTTCCACAACTCCTTCATGATTAACTATTTCCTGAAATACTGGGAGCTTCCTTAAGATGTAATGATGGTGGAAGCAGAGGTGATAATCACAGGCTTGATCCAGTGTCAAAGTTTAAAAGAAGGTTTTTTTTTTGTTTTTTTTTTAATGGTAAGTATTTCATTAGTTACATGTCTGAGTATTTAATTGACTGTTTGACTGTGGTTTGACTGTGACCCCTTTCATTTCCATCCTGTATTGGCTACACAATTTAATGGTACTTTGAACGATAAGATTCCATAATGAACTGAAGTTCAGCAATATGGCATATTTTAATATGGCAAAATATTTGTTAGCCTGATATATGGATGTAATTTGACCACTGAAAAAAAATCAGTCATGTCCATTCGCACTTGTACTGGATGTTATAGTCCCTTTAAATAATAGTGTGACAGAGAACCGTTGAGTTTGACTACTGTGTTGTGTAAAATACTATTGTCGGCTGATCTGTGTTTATGTGTAGCCATGACCCGTGTAAAACACAAACCTTTTTACAGCAAAAACACTTCCAGTTTCACCATGCCTTTTTGAATCTTTGAACCATGTAAAATAATCTGTACTCTTTGACCTGCCTGTAAGTAAGGCCTTTTCAGAGCAGAAACCAGTTCTAATTAACCCTGCAAAGCAAAACCTTGTCAACAAGGCTTAATAGACTTGACTTAAATAGTAAACTACCAAATTTCAAATGACTCTCTGTAACAGAACTGTTGCCATTTCATCTGATGAATTTAACATTTCTGTTAAGAGGTGTTTAAAATTGGGTAATAATGTAATCAGGGTCAGTGGACCATGGTTGACAGTGTAATTGACTGTTGCTACAGCCATTTCTAATTAAGATAAAGAGGTTGCTTTTCCAGTGGCTTGCATGCTGGACTTTGTCTTTCTCAATTTTTAGTACAAAATATTGCACTTTCACTCACTGGCATTATGTTTACTAGACCATAAAGGGATGTGCCACATTACATTGACATGATGCGTGCCTGTCTCTTCGTAGTTTTGTGTTTTGATCTACAGCTTGTCCTTTCTGTGTCTTCTACTCCTGTATTCATTTCCTGAAAACTTTTGCACTGTTTTAATGCTATGTGTCACAGTGTTTTAAAGTTTTCAGTGTTTTTAGCTCTGTACCGTATATATCTACCAGTTGGTTGTGAGGAAAAAACATGTACTTGAAGTAGCTAAATGACAAACAGGGTTTTTTTCTGTAGTTGCGAGAAGTGGCTAAAACAGCGGGGTAAAGTGACTTTGCAGTTGATTTTTAGTCTCGGTCTTAAAATAAAACTACAAATGACCCAATAAAAAGCTACTGGATTTTAAAAAGCTTACATTTATAAAACCTCGGAAAGCCAGTGAAAGGGACTATGCTAGCCTTTTAGAAAACATCTTTTGACTACAACATGTAATGTTTTCATTCCACACATATTTTACCAGTTTACCAATAAATTTCATAACTTTTGCAAAACAGACAAGACGCTACACAGTGCAGAACTGATCATGTTAGGCCAGATGCACTTTAGAAGACTATAGGCTCAGTTAAGCTCTGCACAATTAAAGGATGAGTCTTGTTGAACCCAGCAAAGCTTTGCCTTTTTAGATCAGCGTTTAGACAATTGTGTAACAAAAATGTTCATCTTCACTGTCCCGAGTCTTTAAATATGTTTTTATATATGGATGTCAATTCTTGCCTGTCTAAAGTGAAAGCATTTTATCTATGAATTTTCTTCACTTGCATATAAGCAATTTAAAATCCATGTTTCACCAGCAGGGATGAATTGCATTTAGGCTTAGACTCAACTAATATGGTTATATTTTCTGGTGTGTGTACAGATTTCAAATTTGCTTCTTGGATATTTCCTATTCAAGTTTGCATGACATGTTTCTCTGTCTGTGCTGGGGTTGGGAGCAATAGACCTCAGCTGAGCATTAAAAGAATAACACGTTCTGCCATTTATATGCCTTGTTTCAGAGACCTTTTAAGTTTTCCTGAGCTTTCGCCCCTTGTCATTATAAAATGTTCAGTAAGTGAACTGCAAGCTTGAGACTCAGTGATGGTGAATTGAACCCAGCCCTGGTGTGCACTATGTATGTGTAGTCTAGAGGTATAATGGAGGGGGGAAGGGGGATCACTGTTGGGCTGCCTCGAAACCAAACTCCACCCTTCATTTTGACACCTTTCAGCTAACGAGGATCAAGGATGAATGGAAGGAAAAGGAGGAATTTCAGTGCGCCACCACCTCCCCACCCTGCATGACCGGACAGGACTACAACCACCACCTCTTCCTCCACCCCTCCTCTCAGTCTCTACCCATGCTTCTCTCTGTCTGTTCATCTTGTCTGCCTGACTAAGAGCAGTGGATGGAAGACCCTGACCTGTGTAAGGTTATGTTATCCAAACACCTTCTATACTCATGGTAACTAAAGATGAAAGAAAAGAAACTTTCCAAACAGCTCTTTTATTTTTATGATGTTTTATTTGACATGAAGATGACTATGTGCGATGCTTTTTTGCAAAGAAACAATAAAATGGCCCACCAATCCCCCAACTAGAGGACACAAACATTACATCCTTTTTTTTTGTCTCGCAGTACTGTGTACGTTCAGTTTAGAGATCAGTTTTTATAGGCTACATATTTGATGTTTTCTCCCTACCCCTCCCTCATTCTCAATTATTCTTTTCATGGTTAATATGTTTGTAAATGTCTCTGCTTTTGATTAAAAACTAGATGGTGTTGTAATAAAAAATGTTTACTGAGGTACTCAATGCATTTGGTGAATTCCTCTACATGTTTGGCTCATTTATATTAAATGTATATTTTGGACTTCAAACTGTTTTTTCATATTGAATTTGTCTACATTTAGATTATATTTTTTAGCTGTACTAGCAAGTGGCTTTATGTTTTAGAAAATAGATCCTTGTCGTTTATTCCCTTTTTTGTTTTTTATTTTTCTTCAAATGGATAAAACTTTTTACAAGGTAAGCCATTAGATGAATGTACTTTTTTACGATGTGCATTGATTGGTGGATGGAAAAATATGTAGACTTTGAACAAGTTGAAGGTCTAGCTGTAGTGCTTTGCAAAATTTTGGGGAGCTCTGGACCCATACACCGTAAACCATAATGCTATTCACAGAGTGTTTTCTGTTTGTGTGTAATAGCATTGAGTAGCCAATCCAAATTTTCTTTGAAGTCTTTGTTTTGTTGATGTGAAAGGTATTAATTCTTACACTTAGAAATTCAGGTTCATTCAAGCAGCCATTGTAGTTACAACTAACATGGAGCTGGTCAACCTTCAAAGATCGATTAATCCCATTGTCGAAAGTTTGCCATTTCAAGTAAGTGATTTTTTTTTTTTTTTTTTTTTTTTTTGCTCCTATGTTCCACAACTAACATTTTTATGTATGTTCATTTTTAACACCACCCTGTGACACCATAGCTAAAATTCATATGTAATTTCATGTTTGTTAAATGTGGAATGTGCACCTTAACACTAATGTTATCGTGTGCAGTGGAACACATCTTTTCTCTTTTATTCCACCACCCATCATGTTCATATCTTGGTTTTTTGACAGTTTGTGATACTGAGCTTTTAGTTTGTAATAATTTCAGATGGTCAATTTGGCTAATAAGCACTGAGTAACGTGTGTGTTTTTACTGTCCCCAATCAAAATTTAAAAATATATTGGGCCTTAGGTGTCCTAATATTTGACCTTGATTGATTGGGGCATACCAGTTCTTAAATTTCACTGAATAAAAATGGGTAAACCGAGGTTCATGATGCTGTATCTGTTTGGTCAGGGGGTGCTGTGGTTTGTTCCAGTTGTACTCCAAAACAAAGGAAAATGGTTAAATTGGTAAATGGTTGAATGAAACAAAACACAAAATCACTGATAAACAAGTTAGGTAATACAACTGTTGAGATGGTCCCCTCTAGTCTTTATATCTAATGACCCTATTCTGTGTTGTGTGTGTGTGTGTGTGCTTTTTTTTGTGTGTGTTATTGGAGATTATTGGTTTACTTGTCAAGGTGAAACAAGGTTTGTTTTTTAAAATCCATCATGTTGCGTCCAATCCATGGCCATCCCCTGAAATATTTGATCTCCCAAGTTTGATGATTGTGAAAATTGTGGACCTTAATTGCCATCTAGTCATTGTTATGGCTTCAGGAATTACTCTGAACTCAGATGAAAAGGTGGTGTTCAGACTGTAACAGCATCCCAAACATTTTTTTAAGCCCTCACAATGCTTGTGAAATTTTAACAGTACACTTAAAAAAAAATAAAAATAAATAAATGATAAAGAAAAAATGGTGTATAATCAAGAATGTTAATCCCCTTTGCTCCTATAACCCTGTAAAAGAGAAATGAAACCAATTGTAAGTTGGGTTTTGGTGCTGGCAAACAATGTGAAAACATGAGAAATTTTGCACCTAAGGGGAAAAATCGTTATGCCAGTTCTCTTGAATAATTCCTGAAAAATGTCAATGCCTATGCGCCAGTTTTTTATTATTTTCACTGACTGGGCCTCTCAGTACTGTAAGTGTGTTCAGATCATGCATGATTGACATCTCTTGCCCTCTTCTGTTGCAGCTATAGGGACTTGATACTTTACAACTTGATGAATCTTTCAGGTACATTGACTCCTCCCAATGTCATCCTAAGCAGAGGCCTAATCAGCCATAATAAGAAGGTCTGTGTTCAGGGCTTTCATTAAAAATACTCAGGTGTCAACTTTGTAGATTTCTTGTGCTAACTTCTATCCACAGCGCTGAAGGTAAGTGTTTTCAGGTCACTGCAGAAGAAAAAAGCTCCAGTCTAGAGGAAGTCTGCAGCATCAAGCCAGGCCAACTCCACCTAACACAAGCAGTTGGAAAGTATCTTGTTTGTGTGTTTTCAGTATTTGACTTACATGCTGTAATAGTAGGATGATTCTCAGTGGTCATCTTAAGCTACCTTCATTGTAACATAATATGAAATGTTTAAACATTTAGTTGTGTGTGACGGAAAACTGGGGTAAGCAACTCAATAGATAAGTGGTAATTTACAGTTGATGTTTCTTTCTGTAAATGTAATTGATTGTACAGCTATGCAGACCTGCCAGTGAAAAAGCAGGACTTATCCTCAGGGCTGCAGGACTTTAAGAAGTTGTTTTACAACAGTTAAGCACTTAACTATTAATTGTCAAGGTTATGGGATATCTATTATTAAGGGCTCTGGGGGTTAAAGGTTAATGGGGTCAATTCTAGTTCATCCTACAATACCACCAGCAATGTCTTGTTCTAATTACACATTTCCTGTCACGGGAAAGGCACATTGCAGCCAAAACAAATAAATGGTCATTGGTCTCAAAAAATAAAAGATTTCTAAATTCAGTTTGGGTTTGTGACTTTAATTTGTACATGATGCATCTAATTAGTCGCAATGGTGGAATGGACTATCAAGTACTTAAAGCCAGTCAATGCAAATGAGATTGTAATATTCATGTGGTACACCGAGAGTCGTTTTTCCTGAACAGAAAAACGTTTCTCAAAATTCTCCCTACTGTTAGTTTTGAGGTTTAAGTGATAAAAAAATATAAAATGGAAAGGCAGGGATTAAAAGCCAAAAACTTGCATGATTTAAGAGTGTTAAAATGACGTAAGATCTTACCTAATTGAAAGCCATTATCTACAATTTAAGTAGACTCCGCTGTATTTAAGTGAAATATGGTTATATATGGTATATCGCCATTTTCAATCAATTTTGACCTCAGGTAAATGAGACCTCAGTCTCACGGGTACAGGACGTCGTGAGTTTGATAGTAATTTGGTTAATTTATTTTGCAATGTTAATAAACTGTAACAGACGATAGAATGCCGTTTCCAGTGCGTATGAGAGAGAAAACAAGGTGTACATATATATATTTTATTTTATTTTATTGATAGATGCAACATATTTGTTCGACGTTATAGTCGCCATCAGCCGGAACTTTAATGCCTCAATGTCGTTCTTCTACCGTACAACTTAACACGTTACACTTGTCACTTCCGGCGCTTGTTTGGCTGGCAGTTTGAAATGAGACCGCTGGCTCCATAAAGAATACTTGAACTGCTTAAATGGCAGGTTTATTTAATGTGGATACACGCTGTGGAACAAGAAGAGTCCTCTAGAGTGTACTGCAGGCTCAACTTCTCTGTCTTGCTACCGTACTATGTTCAAAAAGATGACTGAATTTGGTCCAGATTCCGGGGGGCGAGTTAAGGTAACGTAACGTTACGCTACAACCGTCTGGGCAAATGAAAACATTACCTCGTACGTCTTTTAGGAAGTTTGATGATTAAAAGAAGTATTAAAATAATCATCAGAACCGGTTCACGTATCGCCACCCATAGTTTCTATGTTACTGTTTTTGTTATCTTGTATTTGTGGATATTATAACAGGAGCGCGTTCAGATATGTTTTCCCTCTGTGATGTGCAGGGAGTAACCATTGTGAAGCCCATCGTATTTGGTAACGTTGCCCGCTACTTTGGGAAAAAGAGAGAGGAGGATGGACACACACATCAGTGGTCTGTCTATGTGAAGCCTTACAGGAATGAGGTTGGACATCCGGATCACATCACCATCACTGACAAACTAATTGGTTGAAAAGATAATTACCAACCACTTCTACTGTCAGGTTGAAGGTGTCTATATATAAATGTATAATATTATTCTTCCAGGACATGTCTGCGTATGTGAAGAAGATCCAGTTCAAGCTACACGAGAGCTATGGTAACCCACTGAGAGGTGAGCAGACCTTTACAGAACATGTATGAAAATATGACAAATGCAAGAAGGGTAAGAAGAACGTGATTAATTTTATAAGCATATAGCCAGTGTGTAGTGGCTTTATTGTCAGTCTTAACTCGCTGTTTCTCTTCCTTCCAGTGGTGACAAAGCCTCCATATGAGATTACGGAGACGGGATGGGGGGAGTTTGAGATCATCATCAAGATCTTCTTCATTGACCCCAATGAGAGACCTGTGAGGATGTGTCCTGGCTCCATACTAAATGCTAAAACTATCTTAACACTAAATACTCAACACCTGATGATGATGATGATAATTAATATTAAATAGATAGGAATGTTGAACTTTAACTCCCTGTGCTTATCTTGATTTGTGCTTGTGTGTGTCGTAGGTCACTCTATACCATCTGTTGAAGCTGTTCCAGTCAGACTCCAGTGCCATGCCTAAGAAAACAGTTGTTTCTGAATTCTATGATGAAATGGTACACCTGCTTTCATGCTGTAGCTTATGAACACAGTTACTATACTGCATCAATTTCTGTTGCTTTACTGTGAAAATGGTAGTTTCTACTAATATTTCATCTCATCACTATAAATGGTAAATAAAATAAATCGCATGTCGTTTCCAAAGTTGATGGACTTTTTTGAACTTATATCACCACATGGGATCCATATTTTGCTGTAATAGATGAAATTGGGGGGGGTTTGGCTGTAAATTGAGAGTTGTGTGAGAGTGACCCCGATGCACTTGACGTCTACTTTTCAGATCTTCCAGGATCCTACAGCCATGATGCAGCAGCTGCTGACTACATCAAGACAGCTCACCCTGGGAGCATACAAGCATGAGACAGAGTGTATGTACACACAATTAACATAGAAAAACAAGACACAAGTATGTATATATACAGACTAGTTTTGTCGCATTGCCCCAATTTTGACTTTTAACGTCAGTGCCCTGCACAAGGGAAAAATCTAGTTGGTGCCTTATACCATGCCTTGGTACCTATTGTGAGTCGGCGACATATTGTTAATGTGTTTGTGCCTGCCTGTGTCTGCAGTCATTGAGCTGGAGCAGAGAACCAAGGAGAAAATGGAAACCGCAAAGAAGAGAACCAGCCAGGAGATCACAGAGCTGAAAGACAAACTAAAAGCCAGCAGAGAGAACATCAACCACCTGAAGGCAGAGATCAGGAAACTGGAGGAGGATGGAGACCACAAGGAGCACTGAGAAATGGACAATGTTGCTTGTGGCTGAAACAAGCATTTTGTGATTGGTTCTTTACATATCTGTCACTTATATTTTTTTGGCCATAACAATGCTGGATCAGCTGGCTGTATTTTTGTTTTTGCAACACTGGGTTTGTCCAGTCATCTCGATGTAATTGAAGCTGTGTTTTTCTATACATCTACAAGTCAACCTGAGTTGAGGTCTGATCAGACAGATTCAGTGAAGCATCCCCATAGTGTTCACACATACCTAATGAGATATCCACATTAGTGTGGACAGTTTTGAATGTGAATAGCTCCGTTGTTTTTTACTGATCTTACCGTTTTCCATATAAAGTAAATGTGTTAACAATATTGCTTGTATATGTTTGTTCTGTTGTAACCTTTTGGGTTTGATATGGGTTGAGTCATAAAACATTTAAATCTGTTTTACACTGGACTATGTGCCAGGTAGCAGGTTAAACCCTGACTTTCATATCATGTGCCATAGAGTTCGACCTGCCTAATCCTGATCCTGTCTAGGTGTAATTTTACCCATTCACACTGACCGTCCCCATGTACAAATGATGGATCACTAGCCAGGTGTGAAATGGTTTAAACAAGTAGATTGGGAGCTTAGGAGGGGTTGGTAGCCTGTCAGCAGTTGATTGGATGCTTGTTTTTTTGTTAATGTACCCATGATGTTTTTCCCCTCAGAAATGAAAAAAATGATTCAAGTGAGTCCTTAAGAGTAAGACTCATTCTTTAAAGATTGCCAAGATTGGGTGTACTTCATATTCTATTGTGCAACACCAGAATATATACAGTGGGTACGGAAAGTATTTAGACCCCTTTAAATTTTTCACTCTTTGTTTCATTGCAGCCATTTTCCAAAAATCAAAAAAGTTCATTTTATTTCTCAGTAATGTACACTCAGCACCCCATCTTGACAGAAAAAAACAAATGTAGAAATTTTTGCAAATTTATTAAAAAGAAAAACTGAAATATCACATGGTCATAAGTATTCAGACCCTTTGCCGTGACACTCATATTTAACTCAGGTGCTGTCTATTTCTTCTGATCATCCTTGAGATGGTTCTACACCTTCATTTGAGTCCAGCTGTGTTTGATTATACTGATTGGACTTGATTAGGAAAGCCACACACCTGTCTATATAAGACCTTACAGCTCACAGTGCATGTCAGAGCAAATGAGAATCATGAGGTCAAAGGAACTGCCTGAAGAGCTCAGAGATAGAATTGTGGCAAGGCACAGATCTGGCCAAGGTTACAAAAAAATTTCTGCTGCACTTAAGGTTCCTAAGAGCACAGTGGCCTCCATAATCCTCAAATGGAAGACGTTTGGGACGACCAGAACCCTTCCTAGAGCTGGCCGTCCGGCCAAACTGAGCTATCGGGGGAGAAGAGCCTTGGTGAGAGAGGTAAAGAAGAACCCAAAGGTCACTGTGGCTGAGCTCCAGAGATGCAGTCGGGAGATGGGAGAAAGTTGTAGTAAGTCAACCATCACTGCAGCAATCCACCAGTCGGGGCTTTATGGCAGAGTGGCCCGACGGAAGCCTCTCCTCAGTGCAAGACACATGAAAGCCCGCATGGAGTTTGCTAAAAACACCTGAAGGACTCCAAGATGGTGATAAATAAGATCCTCTGGTCTGATGAGACCAAGATAGAACTTTTTGGCCTTAATTCTAAGCGGTATGTGTGGAGAACACCAGGCACTGCTCATCACCTGTCCAATACAGTCTCAACAGTGAAGCATGGTGGTGGCAGCATCATGCTGTGGGGGTGTTTTTCAGCTGCACGGACAGGACGACTGGTTGCAATCGAGGGAAAGATGAATGCGGCCAAGTACAGGGATATCCTGGACGAAAACCTTTTCCAGAGTGCTCTGGACCTCAGACTGGGCCGAAGGTTTACCTTCCAACAAGACAATGACCCTAAGCACACCGCTAAAATAACGAAGGAGTGGCTTCACAACAACTCCGTGGCTGTTCTTGAATGGCCCAGCCAGAGCCCTGACTTAAACCCAATTGAGCATCTCTGGAGAGACCTGAAAATGGCTGTCCACCAACGTTTACCATCCAACCTGACAGAACTGGAGAGGATCTGCAAGGAGGAATGGCAGAGGATACCCAAATCCAGATGTGAAAAACTTGTTGCATCTTTCCCAAAACGACTCATGGCTGTATTAGATCAAAAGGGTGCTTCTACTAAATACTGAGCAAAGGGTCTGAATACTTATGTCCATGTGATATTTCAGTTTTTCTTTTTTAATAAATTTGCAAAAATTTCTACATTTGTTTTTTTCTGTCAAGATGGGGTGCTGAGTGTACATTACTGAGAAATAAAATGAACTTTTTTTGATTTTTGGAAAATGGCTGCAATGAAACAGAGTGAAAAATTTAAAGGGGTCTGAATACTTTCCGTACCCACTGTATACAAAACATTTCCGGATTTAAGGGGACACTTACTCAATAAATCAAAAAACTTAATAAATCTTCATTTACATTTTTGTATATAAAGAGTAATATAAAACATTCAATTAAAGCCACGATGTGACTTTTCAGAAATCCGAGAGTCCATGAAAGCATCTAGCAGGAAGTTCGAACAAGTTTTGCTGTCGGGACGCAGAACAACTTCCCTTAAGCTGTACACAACTTTGTGTCCTCTGGCTGTTCTGTAATAAAAAATGAAGCTAGTATGGTCAAATACAAAGAGTTAGAATGGACACAGTGTTGTGCAGGCCTGTACATTTGTTGCCGTGGTGTAGCAGTAAGTTTAGTAGATACAGTGGGCGTCTGAATGTAGTTTGCCTGCTCGGGTTAAGATCCCTCCAGGTGTTGTTCATCGGGAGGAGTAATTCAAGGTATGTTTACAATGGTAAAGGTTTTGTAGATAGCCAAAAAAAAACTATAGACAAAGAGTCCTCAGGATCGTAGTAGTCCAGGTTTGCTTGCTTTCTCAGTTATCTAAAACGTTTATTAAATCGTTATCTAAGTAGAAATGTGTGCCAACGATGAATTTCTCCTCTGTGATAAGTCAGCCAGTGCCGATGACACATGCAAACATAAACTTACTTTAGCAGTTCATTTATACAATGTAAATTAACGTAACATGGGTATTTAGTAGAATGATTAATCTTAGATGAATCAAGGGATAACATTTTTATCTAACTTAGTTGTACATTTCAAATACACAGCATAAGCTACACATTCCTGTGCAAGTAGCTATTTAGGGCTGCCATGACAATGTGGGGGGATGATTAAATAAGCAATTAAATATATATCCAAGTTATTATTGGATTTTAAAAACAAAATTATGTGTATCAGACATGGTAGTGGTTGCAAGAATAAGTAAGATACACATTTTATAAATATTTTGTAAGACATGTTTTTATAATTTTACGATACAAAATATTATTTACCCCTTTGTTTCTAATTGAATGCGTTTATAGTTATTTATTAAATTATTTATTTTTGCCTGCAGTCATAGCCATAGACGAGTGTTTGTCGGTCGGTCACGTGATCAGAGGGGTTTTGCACCGACGTCAGAGAAACGGAGCTGGTGCCGACCAGTCTATGAGGCTAACTAATGATCCTCATCGTCCTACTGCATTCAAACTCCCTTTCTTACGTGTTTGAAAGACGTCTTTCCAGCGGCATTTACTGACTTAAGTTCCCACTCGCCAGCGTCCTATAACAGAGACGATGTAGGAATGTAAACTGTGTTGGAAATGCTCAGGGGACCGTATAGCGTATGTTAACGTCACCCAGCTCGCATTAAGACAGTAAGTGATACGGCTCACGTAAATGCAACGAGCATGTCTCCGCGCTAAAGAAAACAACTGGTGGTGTTCTGTTGCGTTCAACTTTTCAGGTAAGTTGGCTGAAAATAGTAACAACAACAGCAATGTTTTGTAACCCGTAATGACGCGTGTGGTACTCTGCAGTGAGTGTATGGTGGCCTTATTGTACCCATTTAATCTGTTTAGCGCTATCACTACTATGTCCCCAAGGGACGCATTTTGCGGGGCAAATGTTCTGTGTAAGTATACTATAACGCTGGCTTCTTATTTCTTGTATTTGGAGAAGAAGTTCATAATATAGCCTGTGCTGCTGCCAGTTTGTCGTTAATCAGTATTGTTGATGCTATCTTTCCTGTCTGTGTCAACATCTGCTCACACATTTTGAACAGGAACTAGTTGAAAATGTCTAAAGATGTTAAGACTCTAGTTAGCATGTTTTTGCTGACAGTATCACAGGTGACTAAACTAATTCATGTTTATACTTGTGTGTCTTGTACTGTCATGATAATAGCATTTGTTTCCTCATCGTTAGTGACATTGTTTTTCTTCAAATAACTTGGATACACTGATAACTTAATAGGAGGAGTTTAATTTAACTAACGTTACACTGCAGAGAGAAATAGGGCAAACTGAGAATCCAGGTTGTGTTTGTTGCTTACATGTGCAAATCAGGCACGCTGGCTTGCTATGAAGATCTTTGGTTGTTGTTCACAGAGCTCCATTGTTCTGGTTTCTGTGTGTAGTGTGCAGTCCATTCAAGAGGCTGAGTGCCTCATCAGCACGCCATAGCTTTAATGCATGGGGTTCCCCAAAGAAGGCAAGTGCACTATGGGACACTAGTTGCATTATTGCAGTGGTCCTAGCATGACAGAGGACCCATTTGCTGACCTCTCATCAATTTCATGCTGTGAAGGGACCACGATATACCAATCTCTAAAGTCAATATCAGAAGGCCTCCATCAATACACATCTGCATTTTCTCATGAAGTATAAGTGCATGATGGAAACATTTATGAGTGGGTAGTACTTAGTAAGGGTGTGTACTGCACTGTGATTGCTGTGGATAATAGCAGGATAAGGAAGGGCTGTGATTAGGCTTGCTGGCTTTGGAGTGTGTAGGTGCTAACATTCATTTAGCTGAATGCAGTTCAAGGTTTAATATATTGCACCACCATGTTTGAGGTGTATATTGTCTAAGAAGGAAGTTGCCAGAGCAGTTTTGGCTGTTGCACTGGGACTGTGATGAAGTAACCATATGAGAGTTAATGACTGCAGTTAAGTTTGAAATTGGTTAACATGAAAGCTTATCACTTTAATAGTTAATGTGGCCTTTTTTTTAAATGGACAACCTTTATTTTTGTATCATGCATGCATCACCAGTCACTTCCCAATTAGTATTACACAAGGGTAACAGTAACTCTTTGTTTGCTATTATTGTCATAGGCTACTTACTTGGCAACTTGTGTCATAATCTTTCCTTGTTAAGAGATTAAATGAATGTAAGAACTGACTGAGACACGATATTAGTAAGTCTTGCTATGGTTTGTTAGAAACAAGGGTAAGACGTTGAATTTGGTGCACTGTGGTAGCACTAAAATGGCATCCCTGATAGTAGCGTCATTTGAATAGTGAAGTTGATCTTGCTTTGTGTCTGATTATCTTTGTGTCTCATATGCAAATGATTAGGGGTTAACTGTCAGCTGTTAAATGTAATCAGTTATCGTTGTAGCAGCTTAACGGTCAGTAAAAGGAGCCAACTTGTGACCTGGTTACTATTGTGAACGTGTGATGCTGTCGCCATCCACAGCAGCTTCTGGTGCACGTTTTAATTGAGGCATGTGATCCATGGCTGCTTCAGAAGAGCAGGTTGAAAACGTTTCTGCTGACTGTCAAGCATTTCGTCACTAAAGGATGTTGTAAAAGTTAAAAAGTGCGTGTGTGTGTTTTTTTGTGCTAGGTGTGGTGGCAAGCCCATGGAGAAGCCGTCATCTTCAGACAGAGCAGCGCTGGAGGAGAGAAAAGGCCTGGTTGAGGTGAGCAGCTCACTCATTAACTGGGTCCGAACTATATGTATTAAATGGTTAATTTAATATATGAGAGAAACATTTTTCAATGAAAGGAAATGCATGTTTCCAAACTCACTTTGGGGATATGTGTTTTTGCAATTGTGGTCGCACATTTGTTATAAAGAGCTGAAAACAGACCTTTTTTTCACAGCAGACATTTTGACTTTGTCATAGTCGAAAAAAGCACAGGTGGAACCAGTTACATTAACGATGGCTCCGTTCCATCCAAGTGCCCCAGTAAGCCTTTCCAGTGAACCAGCATGAAAAATAGCAGGTACTGCTATTCTCAATGAAATGCAGTTGTTATCAAATGTTATTGATTACACCGGTGCTCTTCCTATTATGTTGTTGAGCTTCCTGACTCATTATGTCTGTTAAAGAGGAACTCTGGCAACTTGACACATCATCATCTGTTTGCAGGTCTTTGGTGGACAACAGGATATGTAGGGAAAAAACTGTACAAAGCTTTTTGTGACCCCGGAAGGATAACTTTGCTGGATATCTGATAATTTGTGTGTTAATTTTGTGATGTCAATTGTCATGACGGTTGGGGCTCAAGTTTGAAAGTGAAAAAAGTCTAGGGGCATTGAGTTAGAAACAGTGTTATAGGACTGCGATGCTAAATCGGATTATAGTAGATTATAGATTATAGATTATAAGATTATAGTAAGGGTAGGACTGTCCCATTTCCCTTCCTGTTTTCAAATGCCTTGGAGAATGCAAATTGACTCATTCACTGTGTGTGTGTGTGTGTGTGTGTACTTCAGGATGGTGGGGCGCTGAGAGGTGCTGAGGGTGGAGAGGTGGATCCTCAGCCGCTGAGGAAGAGCAGCTCCTCTCGCTCCTCCCGCAAGAGCTTCCGTTTAGACTACCGGCTGGAGGTAGTCCTGTCCCCTAAAACCTCCTCCTACCTGAAACACACACACGTTTGCACCACCTCCTTCCACCGTCACCTCAGCTCAAACCTCCATAAACTCTTAACACTCTTATAAATGGCTAAAATGTAATATTTTGATTGCAGGAGGATGTGACGAAGTCCTGTCAGGACAAACATGGCCGCTGGACCAACCCCTGGCCCACATGGCGGTTTCCTTCCTACACCACCATGCTCAGGTTCATTTTGTTGGATAAAAATCACAGCAATGTACCTACTAGTAAAGAGGTAAGTAATTATTAGACTAAAATTTTATAGTTTGTTATTAACTACAGTTTTGGCTTTGTTCCATAATATCACCAAAAGTCTGTGTGTACTGTATGTACTATGTATTGTTTGTCTCAACATTTTAGCATCATGACCAACATCATGCCAGAAAAGAACAAACAGCAGAATTTTCCCCACCATCAAAAGAGCTGGGGCGCAGCGCCTAAGGGTGTTTTCACAGCACCTAAGCCAAATAAACAGCATTTTATTTATATATTTATTTAATGCAATTGTTAAGATAGTCCATTTAAGTACTTTGGATGTGTGGTTTTATTTCATTTATGATTTATTTAGTCATGTAAATTGTCTTAAATCATATCTTTTGTCGCAATCATTTCTGGGACAATATATCGTCCAACAAAAGTAGTTATCGTGAGAGACTTAAGTGTATATTGTGGATGATGTAGAGCACAACTTCACCTTAAACTTAAACACTTTTGAAAAGCTGTAACACAATAAATTTTGTTATTGCAGAGCACAGAAAGTGTTGACTTTCACACTTAAATTCACTGGTTAAATTGATACTGACTACTGTGTAAAAGTCAGATATCCAATGTGTTCAAGCCAGTGTATGCTTTTACGTGTATTATCCTTTATAGTGATCAGAATAAGTGTTCATATACAGAATTTCCCACCTGTGTTAGTAGGAACATTGCCACGACTTTCACAACCCACAGAGTATTTATAGCTCCCAATGGAAACCTTACTGAGCTCAGTAGATAGCAGGCATCAAAGGCTGCTTTCACACAGTAATCGAAAAATGTTTAACCCCTTAACTGCACAGCAGGGTGCCATTTGTGTAAAAAAAAAAACAGAGGGGAGGATTTATTTTTTCACTCTTCATGCAGCTCCGACAGAGCCAAAGTAGTGCATTTTAAAATAATATTAACCCTAACAAAACTACGGATCGAGATAGTGAATTGGATTCATCATTCTGAGGGGGGGGACAAAAATTATTCATAAATCCTGCAAGCAGCAACGAAAACAGGTTAATCCTGTGTTTAGGGGAGCAAACAGTGCCGCAGTGTATCATTTGCAGAGTAGAAAGCTGTGACTCAGTTATTAGGGTTCGATTCATTTTATGATCAGACGAAGTTGTGAGACAAACATTCTATTCCTCATGATCAGTGTGCGGTTGTTTTTTCTCCTTTTCTCTCTCCCTTTCTCCTACTGTATTCACCACTCTTCCTCTCTCTGTGCGACTCGTGCTCATCATCATCTTATCCCCCTACCCTTGCTCTATTTCTCACCATCTCTGTTCCCATAGGCTCTGGATAGGGAACTCCCAGTGATGGAACCGTACTTCGTCCAGAACCCAGACCTCTCTGACTCTGGTCCAGGTCTGAGAGTCACCTGGCTGGGTCACGCCACGGTTCTGGTAGAAATGGACGGGCTGAATATTCTGACGGACCCAATTTTCAGCCAGAGGGCCTCACCATTCCAGTTCATGGGGCCCAAAAGGTACCGAGGCCCCCCCCTGCACTGTGGAACAGGTTTAGTGCTTTTTGTTTTTAATTTTCTAAAGCAAAGATCTCCATCACAGTATTTGATCCATGCCTTGTTTCTTTGGCTGCTTCTTTGCTACCTGGTTACATTTTTTTTTTATATCCTCCTGCCAACAGCTTCCCAGGATCGATGCTGTCGTCATCAGTCATTCTCATTATGACCATCTGGATTCTGGATCTGTGGCCAGCCTTAATGCACGCTTTGGAGGGGAGCTACGCTGGTAAGTGTGGTGGATGTGTTGTCAACAGTAATGATTTGACACCCACAGTCTTAATATTATTTATTAAGTGTAGTGTTCAGTTTACACTCTTACAAAGTCATAGTCACATGTTTTTTATGTTGAGTAAGTCCAAGTGTGTTTCACAGGTTCGTGCCCCTGGGTTTGATGGACTGGCTGGCGAAAATGGGCTGTGAGAACGTGATGGAGCTGGACTGGTGGGAGGAGAACTGTGTCCCGGGTCATGATGACATCACATTTGTCTGCACACCCTCTCAGCACTGGAGCAAACGCACTGCGCTGGACGATAACAGGGTAAGAATTCATTACAATTATTAGAGTTTACCTGTATGTGTAATATATGTATTAATTCATACCTCCATACCAAATGTGTAAAGTCCAATAGCTGGTGCTCGAGGATTTTTTTTCAGTAATCAAGTAGAAAAGGGCAGTTTTAAAATGTTTTTATTAAGTTCAAAGCATATTCAGTACATAACCAGAACTCTTTTCCTCTCAGTCTTTATGGGGAAGCTGGTCTGTTTTGGGTCCGGACCATCGATTTTTCTTCGCTGGTGACACTGGCTACTGCACTTCCTTCCAGGAAATCGGACGACGCTTTGGACCGTTTGACCTCGCAGCAATCCCCATTGGAGCTTACCTGCCCAGGTCCTGTACATATTATTATTATATTATTATTATTATTATTATTTAGTGTTTATTTTGAATATGTGTAAAAAAGAGACAAAATACAATCAAATTAACAATCAAAACGATTAAACAATACAATAATAAATACATTTATAATATTTACAGCCAAAGAAATTTTTAAACTCTTGTCAGTTTCTTAACATATTTCAAAAGGAGTGGGAAGAAGGTACACCTGTACAATCTAATGGAACTGTTCCGCCATAAAGTCTGTTTTTAAGATGCCTCTCTGCCCATTTTTAGTCAAGACTGTCAGGTGTAATTTCAATTATATGTTCTAATATTGAGGTCATAGTTAGGGACTGCACTGTATTGAGGCATTTAATATTCTGCCCCCCTCATGTTGTAGTAACACCTCAATATAATGTAGTCCAGTGCAACACCACCTTTAACTATGAGCTCATTAATAAACATAATTGAAGTTAAAATTTCAGACAATGTCAACAAACACTGAACATTATTAACTTTGTAGAATTTATGGCAGATGGATTGCATTAGATTGTACCAGAAGCCTTACAGAGGGGCCACTGTCCTTCCTTCTGTGACAGATCAAATTTAAATACTGGACAACTGTAATTTTTTTATTGTTACTGTATGTAATATATGAATTGGCATTGAAAGTTTTAAAAGACCATGCACAGCCACTGTTGCAGAGAAAACCATGGAAGACTATATTGAAATCTTCTTTGGTTTAGCAGGGATGTGATGCGGGGGCAGCATGTAGATCCAGAAGAGGCTGTCCAGATTCACCAAGACCTTCAGGCCAAACACTCTGTGGCCATTCACTGGGGAACCTTTGCTCTCGCCTATGAGGTAGGGAGTACATACATATTACTTAGACATCTGACTAATTGATTATTTGTGTGGTTTAAAGGAATTGGTTTGGGCTGTACGCTTATTGGCTTTCTTTCCAAGTTAAATTAGAAGATTGATACTCATAGCTGTCCATTCAATATGTAGCTGGAGCAAGCAGAAGATTAGCTTAGCTAGGAAACAGCCGCTTTGTCAGACGGAAACTAAAGTTCACTAATTGTAAAATATAAGTGTGTTAAACGGTTTTGCGGGTGTTATGTGCTAGACTATTGCTGCGTTGGCAGACTGCTTGGAACTGGGTTGAAAAATCCGACTTCTGACCTCCAAGTATTCCAGGTGCATGACGCCGAAAGTGAACAAAAACATAGCTGACCATGACAAACTCTTTGTCAAGTGTACACAAAGTTGCACCCTCAGCACTGCCCTTGATGTTAGGATGGCTGTTTTATTGAAAACAAGTTACATAAATAGCCTATACGTTACTAGTTGACTGTGTACCGGTCTAGCTACATCAGTTAGTAATTCTCAGTCAGCTAATGTTTTAGGCTATATTTTCTAATGTTTTCAAATGTTTTGGCATTTCTTACATTTCACTGAATAACGTTTGTGCAGAGAAGATGACTTAGATTCTTTAGTCACCTGCTTGCTTCAGCTACACTTCAAGGTCTGGTGATAGATCAACATATCATTTTACAAGAAAACTTGCCTTCCACCCAATTATTGGCACATTTCACTGTGTATTGATAACGGACAGATATGAGAGTGGTACCAATCATCTCATCTAACTCTTGGCAAGAAAGTGAATTTCCTAAAATGTTAAACTTTTGCTTTAACACACAATGCAATTAAAGTGCAGTCAGTTTCCAGTTTATTAGCTAAATCAAATGTAGTCTAATTCAACAGTCCTACCTTCATAAAAGGTTATAATGGGTGAAAATTTTTAAGAGGCGTTGATTCAACTTTCAGATCATTTTGGAGGGTGCAATTTGGGGTTCTGTGGAACTGTATTGCATTATTCTGACAGGTGTTTCTATTATTTTTCCACCCCATTTCTATTAATGAAGGCAGGCTAATAGAACACCTCTTTATAAAGCACCACAAACTACAGCCTCCAAAAATGATCAGAAAGTTCTCTCTGAAAAAGTTCATCTAAAGCTCAACATTAACACCTTAATGAAGGCAAGGTTTATTGCAGACTGTATTAGACTGCATTAGTGTTAACTAGGTGTACCTAATAAACTGGCAACTGTTGTGTGTATGTTAGGGTGCTGCTAGGAGGATTCAAATGTTTTAAACACATTTTGCATTGTATAAATATAGCTGAAGCGTTAATAGTCATGGTCATTACAGTAGCCCACAGTGATGCTCTGTGTGTTACTGCTTTCAGAGACAGGCAAAGTGTGTGTGAGGTTAAAAAGTGCTGACACTATTATGTTCTGATAACACAATGTAACAAAAGGTGTCATTGTTTTTTTAAGCTGCATGATTATTTCAGCAGCTAACACAGTTTAATGCAACCTCTCTCTCACTGCCACGGTTAGAAAATTAGGGACGAGCTGACAAACCTGTCAAACACTCAAACTTGCAGCACTGTGCTAAAATGAACCTGTCCTGAAGTATTGTGACACTCAAGAATAGTCTTTAATACTCACTTTTTCTGTGGTCCCTCCTTGAATCAGTACTACTTGGACCCGCCGGTTCGTCTCAGAGAGGCCCTGGAACAGAACGGGCTGAAGCCAGAATCCTTCTTCACTTTGCATCACGGGGAGTCTCGCCTTATAGTGTCACAGAAAGGAGACTTCTTCTGATCCTCTCTGGAGCGTTTTGTTGTGTCTGTAATAAAGTGCAGCACATTTTGTTGATCATATATAAATGGACTTCAGTGATTTAATTTGAAATGCATATACGTATGCAGCTTATCCCAACTGAAAACAGGAAATTCAGATGTTCATCAACTCTGTTTACATACTGAATGTTTGGCCTGCCATCATCATGTTGGGCAGTACTGCCTACACGAGCTGTGAAGGCTCCAAGAAAAAAAAAAAACAAGAAATCTGATTCATTAGATTTACTCAAATATGTGTGTGTAATTCTTTCAGGCAAAGATCAGCTATTCATAAGATTTAAACTCAGATGCTAAATGTTGACATCAGCACATACTGCTGTACAGCCAGTGTTGTTACAGTGTGGTTAGTATGCAGTTCAAGTAACGAATAATTCCAATTAATATGGTTTTTATCTGTGTAATGCTGAGGGATAAAAAAACCAAAACTGGTGATGGTCCCATGTTACTTTAATACCAGTACTCTTGAATGGAGAGAATGGAGATCAAGTTTGTAGGAAACAATGTGGGGTTGAACTACAAACCTTCAGTATGAGGCTGGACTGGAGACTACACAGTGTGATGTAGCTTTCTGCTGTGAGCTGCAATATAGAAGAGAAAACTAATTAGAATGTTATTTAGAGTAGTGATTTTTGATGATTGGTGCTAGGTAATGCCACATTACAAAGGCTTTTTTTCTGAATGTGCTCTGGCATCCCAAAACAACATAAGATGCAGAAGTGTCTTTTGTACTTTGTATCTATACCGTTGTATGCTAATAGAAACTGCAGAAGTTGAGCTGGGTTCAGCTTCATGCACTGCAAATATTGTGCACTGTTCCTGCTTCAGACATTTCCCTCCCCCCGCTTATCAGCGTTATCAGTCACATTTTCACTTGTTGAACAGATGTATTTGCCTTAGAGAGAAAAAGTAGAATAATCTTACTGATCAACTGTTCAAGTGATTTTTTTTCAATGCTGTATCTTTAAAGCCAGAATGTACGAACAGTTGACGAGCACAATGTTGAGTTAATTTAGTAGCCTGGTTATAACTACAAGGCCAGCCAAACAGTGCTAACTGGTTTACATTTGACCATGTTACTGAATTAACTATTAAATATACATTGCATTTGAAATGTTTGTTTCTTGTTGTCAACAGTAATTTGGAGTAAGACTTCCAAACCCAAGACAATCTTACAGTTGTTTGTTTTTATGAACCTAGATGTATGGGGGGAAAGTTTAGGCAGTCACATAACATTACTTTAAAATCTATTTAGTATAGTTTTGTTTACTATTTAGTATACTATTTGACTATTCTGACAGTATTTGACTCCATTTTGTCCTGAGGCAGTAAAGCCTACACATCCAATCCTAGCAAGTAGTGCAAATACTGCAGGTTATTAGGGTTCATACCGCGTGTTTGTGTGTTTTAGTTATTATTATTATTATTATTTGTTGTCTGCAGCACTGGCTCAAATTCCCGTGAGCTGGAATGAGCTAGAAACATGAAACTTGCAGGAATAACTGGAAATGGTGTGCATCAGCTTCCATAGAAAAATGAACCCAATCGGCCACATGGTGGCGCTATAATTAAGGCTTAAAAATGCAAACTTTGAAAGGCCACGCTCCTTACACCGTAAGTCCGATTGACTTGAAATTTCTCACACAGGTGCAGCTCAATGTGATCTACAAAAAAGCCTCAAGGATTATTAAGGTCCGCATATAAAATTTTTCCGCCATTTTGAATTTTTTGAAAATCATATTTTTGACATCTCCTCCTAGACCGTAGCTCTGATTGCCACCAAATCTTGAGTGAATCATCAATGGCTCAAGCCTATTAAAAGTTGTATAAAGCATGTCGATATCTCAATTACTTTTCAAGATATGGACCAATGAACTTTGTAAGGGGCGTGGCTCTGGACATACATGACCACAAATCAGCAACCGTAGGGCCGATCATCACAAAACTCACAGGATATGTTCAGATAGGTGCCTCGGATATACCTGGACAGTTGATGTACATACGTCCCTAGGGGGCGCTACAAGTGCAAGAAAGGTGCTTAGCATTACACAAATTACACTATAAATCCCATATTCATTCTCCAATCATCACAAATCTCTCAGGATGTGTCCTCATAAGTAAATGAAACATGCCCTGAAAGTTTCATTCAAATTGAACACTAGGGGTGCTACAAATGCAACAAACTGCAGGGGATAAAATGCAAAACAGGCTACAAAATGCATTTTGTTTGTCCAATAAACACAAAACTTGCAGGATATGTCTAGATAAGGACCTCACGCTACACTGCAAGTCTCATTCAAATTGACCACTAGGAGGCACTACAAATGCACAAAGGAAGCTATTGATCATTTTATGTCCCATCCAGTGGTGCTACCAGGGGGGACCATGGCCACCCTAATAAAATTGGTGGCTACCCCAGTGGACCCCCCTGGTGAGGAGTATATGCATAAATGCTTTATACTGTACATATGGGCCAGATGGTGTGTCTCCATCCTGCCTGAAAATCTCTTTCAACAGTTCACTGGAGCTGTGTGAAGTTCCCTCCTGCTTCAAATGTTCCACAATCATCCCGGCCCCCAAAAAACCTTCCATCTCTGGATAAAATGACTACAGGCCTGTCGATCTGACATCTGTAGCCATGAAGTCCTTTGAAAGACTGGTGTTGGCCCACCTGAAGGACATTACAGGCCCCTTGCTGGACCCCCTGCAGTTTGCCTACAGGGCTAACAGGTCAGTGGATGATGCTGTCAACTTGGGACTGCATTACATCTTGCAACACTTCGAGTCTCTAGGGACACATGCAGATTCTGTTCGTGGACTTGAGCTCGGCGTTCAACACCATCATCTCAGAAATCCTCAGCACCAAACTCACCCAGCTCACTGTGCCAGCCTCCACCTGTCAGTGGATCTTCACTCACTTTGGTGAGTGAAGCATCATTAATCATCGTGACGCTGTGCTCTGCTCCGTGTATGGGACAAACTGTTGTGCTGGATCGGTTGATACCAGGCTATGGATTGCGCTTGTCATGTAGCCGCTTTCAGCTGCTTTATTATCCGCGATTATATTGGCCGCTGGCTGCGCTGGATGACAGGTAAGGAGCTAGGAGTGTAAATGCTCTCTCTCTCTCTCTCTCTCTCTCTGTGTTTGTGGAGCCATGCGTTTTGTTGACATGTTAGAAACACAGTAGCGAGAGAGTATTGTAGTTTTACTGGTATTTTTTTTACTGGTTAATAATACTAGTATTTACATTTATTTCAGTTAAATTACCTGTCAGTGGATCACAAACTTCCTGACTGATAGGAGTCAGCAGGTGAGACTGGGAACATCACATCCAGCACCCGGACTATTAGCACTGGCGCTCCCCAGGGATGTGTGCTCTCCCCATTGCTCTTCTCTCTCTACACCAACGACTGCACCTCAGGAGACCCATCTGTCAAACTCCTGAAGTTTGCTGACGACACAACGGTCTATCTCAGTGCTGGTCACACTGTTCATACTGTTATATTGTCATATTGTATACTGTTTACCAAACCCACCTACCTCAAGTACATAACACCTGCACATAATACTTATTCAATCCAGCATCCTTTGCACTATGCTCCATCGCACTATTGTCTCAGTCTTTCTTATTGTTTCTTATATTGTTGTTGTTTATAGTGTGCATATGTGTTCTCTACACTGTAGCCTGCGTTTGATTTTATTATTGTATAAGTAAGTGCATGGTGAGCAATGTACAATCCAGAGTCAATTCCTCCTATGTGTACACATACCTGTCAAATAAAACTCTGATATTATGTAACTTCTGTGTTTGAGTTCAAATGTCTTAGCAGCATATAGGTGTTGTCATATTAGCCTCTGTCACTTTAAGAGGGTAACCTCTGACCCTGAACTGTGATGGATCATGGTTGTTTTTTTAAGAGAGGCCTCCGATTCGTTCATGTAGATGCCTGTCACCTTTCTAAAATTGTGATTGGTTAAGGGGCGGGCCTAACAGCCAGAGCTTCCAGCGTGTGTTTTTCTCTGGAGGTAACTTAGCCACAAGCTGCAGCAGACAGAAAGGTGTAATTTAATAATTATACAGACAGTCAGTAGCCTGGCTGGTTTATAATAAGTTTGTCAATCTGCTACACAGTTTTGTGTACTGTGTGAGAGCCGTGCTAGTCTGCAGATAGCAACAGGTTAGCAACATCGCTAACAGCAAGCTAACGTTAAACGGACAGTGTCTTCACTGACAGCGCCCCGCCTGACCTGATAAGCACCTCTGGCTTTGAGGGAGACCATCCTGTACCTGTCTTCATCTTCATCTTTCTGAGAGGATTGCAAAACATGACACCAGCGGGAGTTATCTGGAAGATGCTGGGAAACTGAACTTACTTTAAAGGGTTAAACATGCTGGCCAACAAACAGGTGGAGGAAACTGCTACGAGCTCAGCTATGGTCGGATCGTAACTTTTATTAAACTCTGTGGAAAATGTTAAACAGCACTGCGGGGCCGCAACAAGTCTGCGGGCTCTCTGAAAACTTCAGTCCTCCAGAAGTTTGCCCAGAGGAAAAGCCGCCCGCTTTTCTGCTGAAGTGAGCCTGCTTTGGTGAGTGAAGCATCATTAATCATCGTGACGCTGTGCTGCTGCTCCGTGTATGGGACAAACTGTTGTGCTGGATCGGTTGATACCAGGCTATGGATTGCGCTTGTCATGTAGCCGCTTTCATGCTGCTTTATTATCCGCGATTATATTGGCCGCTGGCTGCGCTGGATGACAGGTAAGGAGCTAGGAGTGTAAATGCTCTCTCTCTCTCTCTCTCTCTCTCTCTCTCTCTGTTTTGTGGAGCCATGCTGTTTGTTGACATGTTAGAAACACAGTAGCGAGAGAGTATTGTAGTTTTACTGGTATTTTTTTTACTGGTTAATAATACTAGTATTTACATATTATTTCAGTTAAATTATTATATAGTCTAATATGAAAGAAAATTATTAATGCTCCGTGATGTCTGTAATCCTGAGTGGGCTTGTTCCCAGTAAATGTTTTGTTCTTTGCAGTCAGTGCTCTCCTACAAATAAAAGCTGTAGTTGTTTTTTAAGAAAAAGGTCAACTAGCGTATTTGAAGAACTATTGCCCAACACATACAGATACATTATAACAGGATTTTTATGGCCGCTTGCCATTATGCAAACACATTTTTTACATCTCCTCCTAGACCG